CACTAGATCTTAGTATAATCATAAATATGTTGTGCTGTATTAAATTGTGCCTAACCTTGAGTCATAGTCAACATGTAAGCAGTAAGTAAAGTAGGTACAACATGATGTTTTCTGTTTATTTACAAAGAAAGGGAGATGTAAAGTAAAGACATCACTATTTGCATTTCTGAACTGTCATTGTCTATGAATGTCTTGTCTATGCCTGTATCGCAAATCGGAAGCCATTAAAACCACAAGTTGTATTTTCCAAAATCAAGTTTTATTTACACATCCCAATGTGCCAACCATTTGACTCATAAATAGACCAACACTCCCTCCGCAAACTTCAGTCTTAGTCGGCCGATTCATTGTGCCCACTTTGATACACGTCCATATTAACAGCCCACCCCAAATATCGGCTGACAAAAAGTCGGTGGTCTGCGCTCTGGCAAAGTGATCTTCTTCTATCATTTAAGCTAAATTGCTATACGCCCGTATTCACAAACGATGCTTGCTTATGTGAAGCAGTAAATCGAACGCACAGCGTTGAATAGAGCTCTGTGATTGGTTCGTGTGTCACCCTGTGCGTCCACGTGCACTGGGAGACCTCATAGTAATGTTTGTGAATACGGGCGTTAGTGTGTTAAGTGTGGGTACACCATAATGCGACAGGACTTGAACTACAGACCTTCGAATCTGCAGTTCGATACTTATACCGGGCTATTGTCGCTTCAAAGGGGCCATCCATAAAGTACGTCACACGAATTTCATGATTTTTTTACCCCCCCTCCGTCCTTGTCACAAGTGGTCACATTTCCGAGACCCCCCCCCCCCTCCCTAGTGTGACGTCACATGTTTTGCAATTTCACATCGAAAAATTATTAAATTAACAGCAGTTCCGAAATTAGTTTNATTATTAAATTAACAGCAGTTCCGAAATTAGTTTTATTTCCATTTAAATTAAGTACATTTTTTTATGAAATCAACATTATCTATATATACAGTGTGTCCGGGCTTGTAGTGATCAAACTTTAAGGGCGAAATCTAGGGACAATTTTATCGATAAAAGTACTTCAAATTTGGGGCTTGACCAATGTATCGCAAAATTACAAGAATTTAAGTTTTTCATTTTTAGTTTTCACCTCTTCCTTCAAAAACAAGCGAAAGCGTGGGTAGCTTAACATTAATGAGCAAATATTTTATATCATGCGATAGCCAATAAAAATATGTATTAGTAGAAGTAGAAAATAGACACAAGTTTCATACATTTTATGGAAGTAAGAATGGATTGAATTAGAAAAATACATGACTTTTTTCACTTCTTTTTCAGTTATTTTCCAATACAAGAAAAACCAGGTCGTTAAAGTATGTTTTTTTTGCATTGTATTTTTAGTATTTGAGCTATTCTACAAAACGAGTGTAAATTTATTAGTCTACGTCTATTAGTTTCGACGNCAGTCCAATAAATTCAGAACATCTGTGGTGCTCAGATCTTTACTAGACCAGGGCTCTCAGGCATCTTTCATCACGGAATCGGCCGTGCAGTTGTTAGGTCTCAAAAAGATGCCTGGGAAAAGTTTAGTATCAGGCTTAGGCGGTGATAAAGGCTTGACTATGACGTCAAGTTCGGCAGTGCTCATCAAAATTCAATCCCGCCTAGACCCCAGCTTTGTCGTAACTGTCAAGGCTTACGTTTTGAACAAGGTAACTTCTTTGTTACCCACGAGGAAAGTTTCTTTTGAAATGACTCCAGCATTTTCGTCTATGGTCTTAGCAGATCCATTTTTTGATACTCCTAACAAAATAGATCTGCTTTTAGGAGCTGAAGTTTATAGCCAAATTTTGTTGGATGGTTTATACAAGGGTGCACCGGGTTCTTTAATTGCACAGAATACCAAGCTCGGTTGGATCCTCTCTGGCAGAACACTTCAGCAATTCAACCAAGACGAAACGTGCCATAATGTCATCGTAAATATGCACACTGAGATGTGTGACGACCATTTGCTGAAAAAATTTTGGGAATTGGAGGCTGAGCCGTCCTTACCCAAAATGAAAATGCTCACAGCAGAGGAACAAGCCTGTGAAGATTTATTTTCTCAGACTACTAAAAGAGATGTAGATGGTCGTTACATAGTTAAATTGCCTTTTAAATCAGTCGATCCGCCGTGTAAACAAGGTGATTCTAAACGTATTGCCTTCAAGAGGTTCCTCATGTTAGAAAACCGCTTGATAAAAAATCCTGACCTCAAAAGGGATTACACAAAGGTTATTCATGAATATCATGATATGAACCACATGGAAAAGGTTAGTGACCCCCTGTCTCCTGGTGTTTACATTCCTCATCATGTTGTGATACGGCAAGACAAGACGACCACCAAGAACCGCGTAGTATTTGACGCTTCTTGTACTGACTCAAACGGAGTTTCACTCAACGGTGATCTGATGATAGGTCCGACTCTACAACCAGAGCTGAGGCACTTGATTATGAGGTGGCGGTGCTTTCCGATTTCACTTGTCGCTGACATAGTGAAAATGTACCGACAAGTGAAGGTGGCGGAGGAGGATACAGATTTCCAAAGGATTTTATGGCGTGAAAACCGTGAGTCAGATGTGCAACATTATAGACTCCTAAGAGTTACCTTTGGGTTATCATGTGCACCCTACTTGGCTGTTCGAGCTCTACAGCAATTGGCTTATGACGAGGGTTCAGATTTTCCATTAGCCTCTCCTAGAGTCCTGAACGACTTCTATATGGATGATCTGTTAACGGGCTGTCACTCTGTATCCGAAGGAGCACAAATCTTCCAAGAAATGACTCAATTGCTAGCGCGTGGTGGGTTTCCTCTGCAAAAATGGTCAACAAATAATAAGGAGCTGGCAGCTTTGATGAATGAGGATACGCCTGCGAAAGATTTAGAGCTGAAAACAGACGATATTATGAAGATCTTGGGATTAGCTTGGGATAGAGAGTCTGATGAGTTTCGTTGTATAGTTACACTTCCTCCTTTAGAATGCCCAGTTACGAAACGTAAAGTCATCTCTGATATAGCTCGTTTGTACGATCCCTTGGGTTGGATAGCCCCGGCTATAACAATGGCTAAAATATTCATCCAAAGATTGTGGTTGTCGGGTATCGAATGGGACGATGGAAAGAGAATCACATATTCGAAAATAATGTAATAATGGAACAGATTTCACCTCGTCAAGTAAGTTTTTTTATAATTATTTTCATTATATTTTATTAAAGACATTGGCTTGATATATTTGAACAAAGTGTATATTTTTTTCTATACAAATACTTCTTACTGATGGATAAAAATTGACATCACATCTCAATATGTTAAAGAATGAATTTTGAATGATACCATAATTAATTTCTTTGTTTCAGCTGCGGGGATCTGACCAAATATGTCATCCTTAAGTGGCAGTGAGCTGATCGAGCTGCTGCACATGCTGTGGAGCCCCAACAAACACATGATGGGACGAGGATTCATTTGCCCTGATATTGGCCGAATAACAGTAAGTTGCTGTGCTCATGTTATGACAATTTTGTGGCTTTTGAGCTGGGCAAGGTATCAGGAACATGTATTTCCACCTGCCTAGTTCCTAGACAATATTTTATTGACCCATGAGTCAGATTAAAATAATAATAATAATAAAAATGGTGTTTTATTTTGCTTCAAACCTTTCTAGTCTTAAGCAAAAAAAAATTTTTTTTAAGGACTTGTATACAAAATGATATTTATATTCTGTTACTTACTGGTAAAGACTATTTAATAAATAACAAATTACATGCTGTAATGTCTGTCCACCTCAGGCCAAAGGTCCCATACTAAGTGGGCATAACCCTTTGAAGTATTTTCGTCGATAAAATTGTCTTTAGATTACGCCCTTAAAGTTTGATCACTACATGCCCGGACACACTGTATATAAAAGAAAGTCGTGTTAGTTACTTCGCTTATAACTCAAGAACGGCTGAACCGATTTAGCTGAAAATTGTCAGGGAGGTAGTTTAGAGCCAGGAGAAGGACATAGGATACTTTTTATCCCGTTATTTATTGCCATTAAGGCGGAACAAAGTTCGCCGGGTCAGCTAGTATCAAATATTTAAAACAATTGAAATGTGATGTCACGAAACTTAGGACCCCTCCCACACCTTGTCACACCATGTCACACTTTGTCAACCCCCTCCCCCCCTCTTTAGGTGTGACGTACTTTATGGATGACCCCAAATGGGCTGATATAGGGGATGGAAGCTTTTATAGGAACCCATTTTTTCTCACATTAATATGAAAAGTTTTTATGCTTCCTAACGCGTTGAGTGGTACTTAAGAAATTTATGTCGTAGATTCGACGTTCATACATAAACCATTAAAGATGTAATGTAACTTTTCAATGTACAGTGTTGCCAATGAGGAAAATCTATTACCATAGGTACATAGAAGATCGATACTATAAGAAGACAATTCATAATGGCATTTGCTTCTGAAATACCTCGGTTTTCATATTGGCCCCGTTTAGTTTTGTTCACATTGTAACGATCGTAGCTGAAATTGAAACTTTTAGTTTCACAGAATTGTTATTATTTCATGAATTAGGTATTTCAAGTTTTCAACAATCGTACCGCGAATTGGAGTTGGAACTTTGCAGACGATTTTTTATTTGTTTGTTTTCGCGCTCAGTTTGAGTATGATTTCGGGTGCAATAATATTTTACTATCTTCGAAACATTCTAGAACTCATTTTTATTATGTACCTACTAGCGGCCACGGTAACTTCGTACGTGTGGACCCCATTTTACCCCCTTAGGAATTCATTTTGCAAAATCCCGTCTTAGTGCACTACGTTCTAAAAAGAACCCCCATGCAAAATTTGAGACTCCTAGCACTTTTAGTTTCTGAGATTACGTGATGAGTGAGTCAGTCAGTGACCTTAAAAACAAAGAAAAATCGCTTGTATAATATTTTATTTTACTATGGATGTTTTGTTTCTGGGTTTTAAAATACATTTGCGTTTCTAAGTAAAAAATTCTGCAAGTAAAAACTTAATTCGAAATCCGACAGTTTTTCTTTTGAGAATACTTATGAGTTACCAAGAAATATGATAAGATACTGTAAAGGCCAAAAGGGCAATAGTGAAAACCCCAGAAAACTTACTATGAGCACCGAGGTCTTAAGTTTCGTTAATTAGGAAATGAATAATACTTAATTATAATTTTTATATTATCTTGTGTGTGGGTGTTGTACAAAAGGGTTGAATTTAAATACTTTGTGCGGTTTTCGTCACAACTTACATTGCTCCAATTTAATTTTAAATTCGACACAAACACGTCTAATTTTCATGTGTGAGGTGTCACTAAAGATCTTTAAACTCTTCCTACTTAATATTCTTCTGATTTTTGTTGCAGGTACTAAAACAGACTTCAACCTTCGCTGGTTGGTCTTCCTTCCATGCCAAGCTGTAGATCCTGGTAAGAATTGCAGTGGTGATAACGAAAGGTATGTGGATATTACTTATTTTGTAGCTAAATATTACTAAGAATTATTTATTTATTTAAGGCCGGGTAGCAGAGAAAATGGCGAAAATGAGGTTTTCATTTTTCATTTTTGAGGTACTAAACAGTAAAATTAAAGGCTAAGATTTTTATGGGGCATAGTTGAGGATATTTTCTAGGGCTATTAACGGATGGAAACACGATTTGATGAAGTTGACTCGATAGAATAAATTCCCAAAGTTACCTCGTTACCTCTAGTTTTATTTTTAAAATAAGCGATTTGAGATTCTAAATCTTTTACTAAACTAAAGTTCAGAAATAACTTGAGGGCTTTTAACGGATGAAAATTATCCAAGCTCTAAATAATCGCTACTACGAGTAACTGATCATAAAATGTTTTTCCAATCGCTCAAGCTCCTGAGGATCTACCGATAGGTCGGGTGACGTAATCTTGAAATTCTTTTAGCCGGCGCGGAACTTTCGGAAGGTCGGGTGACGCCACGCCTCTTTGAACCGTGTTTACTTTGGCAGTTATATTCTATATTTATTCGATTCTAAAATATATTCCCAAAAATTTTGAAAGTTGTTTTAATTTGTATCACTTGGATATGATTTGTATTAGAAAGTGTGACGCTTGAACGGATGGAAGTCAACCTAACCTAACCAACTGCGTATTTCTATACTGTGTAGCCGCGAGAGCTCTTTGGCGCGCTGTCTTCGGCGAAGTATTGCGCGCGCAGATTTTGACAGCGCGAAATACCTACTTTAGCAGAAATACCAAGCCTTAAAACTTTGCACTCCTCCAATCAACCTTAGGGTCAAACTGAGAATGTCGTAGGCGGTACAAAATTATAGATAGCTAAAATAAGATTATAAATATTATGTAAATAACATATGAATAGATACATTGACATTATATATATTTATATAAGATGGATGACAAACAAAAGGAGAAAAAAAGAAGAAGAAAACAATGAAAAACAAAAAAAAAATTGAACAGAAATTGTGAAGATGGGATACTATCAAGAAAATCATGACCCTAATACTGTTAGATTGCTCCTTCTTTCCTCCATCTATGACTTATTAGGTTTTCTCAAGTCACCTGTAAATTGAAAAGGCAGGCAAAATACATATTTAATTATCTTTCTTTGCCTTTGTTGTCTGACGTTAATTTATTGGACCTACGCCAACAACAGCTAAGATGTAAATTAGATATTTTGACACCTCACCTCCCCAAGGGCAGGGCGAATTAAAATGAAACTGAACGCGGGTATCGAAGAATAATACCTCATTAAGCGAATCGATAAGCTATTATTTTCACTTGGCCGTACCCGTACCTCGGAGAGCACGAGAAGTTTTGCGTTCTCAGTAACTTGTACGTACAGTCAGCTCGGAATATGAGGTGGAGAGTTTTTATAAGATGATGAAATTGGGACAGTTAGCAGGAAGGCGCTGGACGCAGACCGCTACCAACCGGGCAACATGGAAAGCATTGGGGGAGGCCTATGTTCAGCAGTGGACGTCCTATGGCTGAGATGATGATGATGATGGTGATGAAATTGGATTCTAATTCTCTAAAAACATTATTTTATCTACGAGTATATTTGTACCTTGTTGAGCTTTAGGCGACAATAGCCTAGGGTTCAGCTACCGTGTTTTTTGTATGGAGTTTGACAGATTTTTGACGTTTGTCAAAGTTAAAGTAAGATGGTGCAACCCAGCCTTAGAATACATTAGCGAGTTAACAGAAATAGTTCATTAATTTGTTGGTTTGGTTTTTCATTTGTTCAGGAATTTTTTAATCTAGCTGGTAGACCAGTGTATATTTAACCTTCTGTCACTATAATTACATAATTAAGCGTGTCCTGTGATCAAAATACTGGATTTCTTACCAATAGTACCGACCTAAAGGTATATGCATTTACATATTAATTTAACTTGCTTTAATTAAAGAAATTGATATTGCTCATGTATGAGCAAGACTAAATCAGTTTTGACGCGTTTGTGTCTTCCAATGTAATAAACCATTTTGTGTAGTAATTACGACTGTAATCAAACTGGAGTTACACGGATTGTGGGGATCGCAGTGTAATTACACTGACGAGTCGGCTTTCAGAGGTTTAGTGGTAAGTGTTGGCTATAGGTTAATGAACGCCTCCAGACGTTAGATGTACCTTACAGTTCGTTCGTTCGTTTCAGCTGAAAGACGTCCACTGCTGGACAAAAGCCTCCCCCAAGGATTTCCACAAAGACCGGTCCTGCGCCGCTCCCATCTAGGCACCTGCCGAGACCTTCACCAGATCGTCGGTCCACCTAGTGGGAGGCTTGGCCATGCTACGTCTTCCGGCTCGTGGTCGCCACTTAAGAACTTTCCTGCCCCAGAGACCATCAGCTCTTCGAGCTATGTGCCCCGCCCACTGCCGCTTGATTTTGGCGATTCTGCGGGCTATGTCAGTCACTTTGCTTCTCCTACAGCTCTCCTCATATCTGATTCGATCACGCAGGGAAACTCCGAGCATAGCACGCTCCACCTTACAATGTCGGCAAATAAACCACTCATTGCAATCGTAAAGGCGATAACAGATCAGATCATCATTATCATCATCATTTCAGCCACAGGTCGTCCTCTGCTGAACATAGGCCTCCCCCAATGATTTCCATATAGCGCGGTTGGTAGCGGCCTGCATCCAGCGCCTTCCCGCTACCTTTGTGAGGTCGTGGTCTTTGTGGGTAGACGTCCTACGCTGCTTTTGCCTTCACCCCAAATCAGACCAAAATGGCACATATCGTATTGTCAGTTTGTGCTATGTCGACTACGAATTTTGCAGAGCTGATGGCACATCCCCTTCGGTCGCTCGTTCGTAATCGACAGGAGTTCTTGATATTTCAATAAACGAAACTATTCCCACCTGTCGTTTCCACCGCTGCAACTCCTGTGTAGCCAGGATCTACAGCTTGACAGCCAATAAAAACTTAACCAGTGAAAGTCCAGCTTTTCCAATAGTAGATCACAGAGTCTTTAAGTTGCTTATTTTTTGTTGGGGTTTACAAAAAGTGGAAGATCATTTTATGGTGATTTTGAGGCAGCAATACAGCCATGGACTGTCGTAAACTAAAATGATGACGGCAAAAATGCTTTTGGCAGGATCAA